GGGACGTCTCCTGGAATGAAAAACTTTGGGCACTGTTGAGCCTGCCAAGAAGGGAAGAAGTGTGCTAATAAATTTCATGATGTGGATTCTTGTCCATATGGAAATGGCAGTGAACCCCACCATATATTTCTGTTATCAGATGGTAATGATTTTTGGTCACTATTCATCTGGGTTGGATTTAAACCAGTTGCTCAACAGAGGCTGGCTGCGTAGTTCAATTCCAGTCCCCTAAGAGATCCAGCTGCCATTGGTACTGCCACACATCACCAGTTTCTCTGTTTGTACAGTAATAGTGCTGAACTGTTTCTAGATGGAACATTTGAGAGCTGACATCTCACAATGCAAGCTTGTGCATCTTACCAAGCAAGCAAGGCCATGAATGAAGGCCTGCCTTTGTGAAAGATAGCACCAGATTCTCAAATGATACCAATCAATGGAGCTCCTTTGACATTAGGGGCACATCTAGACTACATTCCTCTCCCAAAAGAGGAATGTAAATTAAGCAAATCAAAAGTCCAAATGAAGCACGGATTTAAATATCCCATGCTTCATTTGCATATTCATGTCCGAGCGCTTTTTCGAAAATGAAAGCGCAGTCTAGACACGGTTCTTTCGGGGAAAAAAACCCTCTTTTTTGAAAGAGCCCATCCTCATTTTTTCAGACTGCACTTTCACTTTCGAAAACCCCTTTTTCCAAAAAGTGCTCGGACACAAATATGCAAATGAAGCACAGGATATTTAAATCCGTGCTTCATTTGCACTTTCGATTTGCCTAATTTACATTCCTTTTTTGAAAGAGGAATGTAGTCTAGGTATAGCCTCAAAGAGCTATGCTGGTTTCTGCCAGCTGAGGACCTGGCCCACGGTCATCTGATAATTCTGCATCCATAAGCTCTGACTTCTGTTTTCACTAGCTGGAAGTGAGAAAGTTTCCTAATTGGTCAAATATATATCCATGCTATAGTTTATACATAGACCACATATTACCTATATTAAAACAAGCTAAACCCCAATAAAATACAACTCAGTGTCACTTGAGTGACTTGTTTCACTGCAACTTTAATAAAAATCAACTGCTACTTTAATAGGTACATCCACAAATACTGCCAGAGATTTCCAGTTATGATATTCCCAGCAGCAAACAAAATTAATGTCAGCTCTATCCCCAAAAGCCTAAACTATATTACTAATGAATTCTGAAGAACTCTCAAAGAAAACTGTGCAAAGACAGTAAGGTGGAAATCACTGTGATAATCTAAGCATAGAAATACAGAAAAAAATTATCAACATGCCAAGTAGGATTTGCCTCTCATGATCCCATTAAACATCTTGTTAGCATAGTGTGTGCACAGATTGAGGTATTGTTACATACTTCTACTAAAGACTCACATCAGTACACACAAATTCATGTTTTTCAGTTGTATTTTAAACAAAGGTTTAAATCCTGAACCAGGATTTTTACTTTATTATGAGAAAATACATACTTAATATGACTCTAACATAAACTCCTTTCTGGTAATTTGTCTTTCTAGTAGACATACTCAGTTGCATAACAATTTGCAGTCTTGATTCAAATACAATATTTGGCTTTAATGATTAAAACAGTTATCTTTCCTATTGCAGAAGTAAGTGCTAAGAATATTGAATTATTATAATCATTTTGAATATTTAAATATTATCATCATCTTAATATGTGTATAGAATTCATTGATTTTTTTTTGTAGTTTGTAATGAAGAAGGTGATGTTTTCACCTACTGTTTATAATCTGTTTCTATATTGCTGTACTCTGTTAGAAAGTTGTCCAGTTCACCCCAGAGTTGGTTACAAGACAGCAAAATCGTTGTTATAATATAAAGAACTGTAAAATCCACTATAAATATTTAGCATCTTCTGGATGAAAAGTGCATTAAATGTAAGATTATTATAATTCATTTTCAATATGTCCTGCAGGAAAGTTTTCTTCCATCACCATTCAGACCATCAGAATTAAATTACCTAATCCATTTTAAGACTCTATTTTATAATGAAGATTTTGTTGCTTTGCCCAGTTATGAACCCTGTACAAAATGACAAAAGTCATACAGCTATTCTGTTACATATTAGAATCTTTGTTTATTACATATACTTTTTCATCATTTTTACAACATTGCTGTTGCAGTGTTCTCTTGAGAAGTAGTTTTATATCCTACCTTTAATGCTAGCTCTTTGAGCTTTATCCAAAACCAGTGAAGTCAGTGGGAAAGCCTCTGATTGATATCAATAGATTTTTGGACAAGAGCCTCCTTAGTGCTAAGATACCGAAGCATAAGTGCAGTATAAATATCTACCTAGATAGAAGATCTCTGCTTTTTTTTCTGGAAATACCAATGATAGCCTCCATTTTTAAATGTTTATGTTTTCACAAGAGAGGAAACCAACGCTTTTTAATATACTGCAATATTGAGCAGATGTGTTTTCTTATAAATGTGGAATTCTCTTCTTTACTGCCAAGGTTGAGGCAGTCAAGTTCTCTGGATTTTACCAGGTAATCCCTTGTGTGTGCACTAATGTTTCTGGCCAGATATACCAACTGATCAGGTGAAGTCAGTACATGGTTGTAGGCAATACCAGTAATTTACTGATGATGCCATCCATTTCTCTGCAATTTAACTTACCATTTGAAGACACATAAACCAATAACATTTAATTTTCTAGCACTTACAGTTGCTGATATAACCTTCTGAATGTCTGATTAAGGCTTAATATAAACAGAAACAATGGGTCTGCTTCTCACTTGCACTATTAGGGTACGTCTAGACTACAGGGTTTTGTCGACACAGATACTGTCGACAAAACTTCTGTCGGCATAGAGCGTCTAGACACATTCAGTTCTGTCGACAAAGCAAGCTGCTTTGTCGACAAAACCCTGTAGTCTAGACGCAACCCTACAGGCAATAACACCTTCTGTTGACAGAATTCTGTCAACAGAAGGTGTTATGCTTCGTAAAATGAGGTTTACCAGCATCGACAAAATTGCTGAGTTCTGTCGACAGAACTCAGCGGTAGTGTAGACGCTGGTATAGTTTTGTTGACAAAAGTCCACTTTTGTCGACAAAACTCAGTAGTCTAGACACACCCTTACAGAGGTAGGCAATAATTTTTAATAGGAGGCCACTCCATAAATGGTCAAGAACTGCACTTGTATGGTGGGGGCACGGGATCTGGGATGGTGAGTGGGGTGCAGAAGGGAGCTTGGGGTAGAGGACTGGGGAACAGGAGGGGATGCGGGGGTCTGAGAGGGCATTTGGGTGAAGTGGGGAGTTGTGACCTGAGACAGGGGATTGGGGTCCAGGGTCCAAGAGGGGGTAGGAATGTGGGAGAGAACAGGAGGGGATGCGGGGGTCTGAGAGGGCATTTGGGTGAAGTGGGGAGTTGTGACCTGAGACAGGGGATTGGGGTCCAGGGTCCAAGAGGGGGTAGGAATGTGGGAGAGGATTCCAGCCTGGAGGTGTGCAAGGGGGTGTAGAGTCTGGGAGGCAGCTGTGACCTGAAAGAGGTGGGAAGAGGTGTTGTAGAGGGTTTGGGTGGTAACCTGGGGTAGGTAGTTGTGGGGGGGAGGGCGAAAAGGAAGTGAGGTGCCAGAGGCAGGCTGTGGCTGGGAGACGCTTACCTAGGTTGCTCCCAACCAGCTGCTCTGCAGGTACCTGAGAGAGGCTCCATGCCTGTCTGCTGGACCAGCTGCTCCACATGGCTCTGCTCCAGGGAGGGTGGGGGTTTCATTTGCTGCCCCTGCCTTCAGAAAAAAAATGTCAGCTCCTATTGGCCAGAAACTGGCCAATTGGGGACAGCACGAGAATTCTCCCCAGCTTGCACAGCAATTAGCCGCCTGCTGTTTAAAACAGTGCGAGTTGCTCGGTACTAAGAGTGTCAGTGAGGTGGCCAGTGGGCTGGATCCAGCAGCTTGTTGGTTCAGATCTGCCCAACTAGCCACCTCTTGCCCACATTTGCACTGTTGCCTCTTTACACCACTCTGGCAGGCAATATAAAGGTGCATTAAAGTGGATATGTAAGGCTGTTTTATACTGCCAGGGTGATGTAAAGAGGCCTTACTGCAAATGAGTATCATGCCTGGTTGGTTTATTGCAGAAATGAGCTACCCTTATTTATCTCTGAGATGTTAACTCTGAAGTTTATTGATCTAAATTAAACTGTGAAACAATTTATTTCACTGCTGTTTATTTTATCAGAAGCATTCTGGGATTGTGGGCTCCGCTTGAGTAAAATGCCACCTTTTTTCCCTTTGTATTCTGCCATACCAGTTTCCTTAGTGCAGTTAGCAGAAGTAATTAGCAGAATAATGAAGCTCACTAGCCTCCAAATACATATAGTATGTCTCTAAATAAAAGGATGTACTAATTAATTTTCAATAATTATTACGTATATCCAGTACCCTGCTATTAGGCCTTCAAGATATGGCTCAGATTACTGCAATATAGAGCTGTGCGCCTGCTAGGAATATGGGCAAGTGGAACAGTGAAATTGACATTGCTCTTCAGGCTCTGTCCATAGGCTCCTTGAGTGATTTGGCCTCACAGTTAGATTCTCAACACCCTCACCACATTTCAAAATAAAAACCATGACTGTTCACTTTAAAGCAATCTCTGCAATGGCAATTGTTTCTAGATGGAAAAAAGTTCAGACCATGTTGTTTCCCACGGGTCTTTGAAACCAGACAATTCTAGAGGTAATGCCCCTTTGGCGGAGCTATTCAGAAAATGTTGATGAAAAAGGAAAACAATAATCTACGGAATATCTTTCCCCACTTGTCAACTTTTTCTTTCTTGAGTGTAGCCATTTAGTGTATTTCAGATGTTTTGCTTCTAAATAATTGATCAACTCTTCTGACTATAGCAGGTGACAAGGAAACACGAAATGTAATTTGACGTGACTGAGCTAAGTTGTTTGTAAACTTTGTCTCCCCATTTATCTAAATTATTTGATCTTTTTCCCCCCTTCCCAGGATTTCCTCATATGTATTTTTCCCAAGTCTCTTTGAGCTCTACATAATACAAGACTGGGGTTATGAAGTCGATCCTAGATGGCCTCGCAGACACAACTTTCCGAACAATTACAACAGATCTTCTTTACATGGGTTCCAACGATATCCAGTACGAAGATATTAAAGGTGACATGGCCTCCAAACTAGGATACTACCCACAGAAATTCCCATTATCTTCCTTCAGGGGTGATCCTTTTCAAGAAAAAATGACTGCAGGAGATGATCCCCTGTTAAGTATAATTCCATCGGATCAGATCAATATTACAGAATTTTACAACAAGTCCCTATCCACTTTCAAGGATAATGAGGAGAATATACAATGTGGGGAGAACTTCATGGATATGGAGTGCTTTATGATTCTAAACCCCACCCAGCAGCTGGCTATTGCAGTGCTATCCCTTACCCTGGGCACCTTCACCGTCCTGGAGAACCTTCTAGTGCTGTGTGTTATCCTGCACTCTCGAAGCCTCCGGTGCAGGCCCTCCTACCATTTCATTGGCAGCTTGGCAGTGGCTGACCTCCTGGGCAGTGTAATCTTTGTCTACAGTTTTGTTGATTTCCATGTTTTCCATCGGAAAGACAGTCCTAACGTATTTTTGTTCAAGTTGGGTGGAGTTACAGCCTCTTTCACTGCCTCAGTAGGCAGCCTTTTCCTTACGGCAATAGACAGGTACATATCTATACACAGGCCACTCTCTTACAAAAGGATTGTTACCCGACCAAAGGCTGTTGTAGCATTCTGCGTGATGTGGACCATAGCTATCGTAATAGCTGTTCTTCCTCTGCTCGGCTGGAACTGCAAAAAGCTCAATTCTGTTTGTTCAGACATCTTCCCTCTCATTGATGAGACTTATCTAATGTTCTGGATTGGGGTCACCACTGTACTTTTGCTGTTTATTGTATATGCCTATATGTACATATTGTGGAAGGCTCATAGTCATGCTGTTAGAATGATTCAGCGTGGCACTCAAAAAAGCATAATAATTCATACCACAGAGGAAGGTAAAGTACATATTACTAGACCTGATCAAACTCGTATGGACATCAGATTAGCCAAAACCTTGGTCCTTATTCTGGTGGTTTTAATCATATGCTGGGGCCCTCTACTTGCGATTATGGTATATGATGTCTTTGGGAAAATGAACAAACTCATCAAGACTGTCTTTGCGTTCTGTAGCATGCTCTGTTTAATGAATTCAACAGTGAATCCCATCATCTATGCTCTACGAAGCAAGGACTTGAGACATGCTTTCCGGAGCATGTTTCCAACCTGCGAAGGGACTACGCAGCCTCTTGATAACAGTATGGAGTCCGACTGCCAGCACAAACATGTTAATAATGCAGGTAATGTTCACAGGGCAGCTGAAAGCTGTATTAAGAGCACAGTTAAGATCGCCAAAGTGACCATGTCTGTTTCCACAGACACAACTGCAGAGGCATTGTAAATCTCAGACCTCTCAACATTGTGAGAATAGAAGATAGTTTAAACAAATAAAAATACATGACTTAAAGCTTTTGTTCCCTCACCTGTAACATTTTTAAGTTTGTCATAACAAGTTGTACAGTGATTGTGTTAAGAATTGTTACCATCAGCCAGTCCTCCAAGTTTTGCAATTAGGGATTCAGACTACATTGAAAAAGAAAAGATTTCAATTAAGAAAAGTGCTCATTGAATAATAAAATATGAAACTCTGTCAGAATGTATAGAAAAGGCGAAACTAGCAACAATTCCTTAATAAGTTACTGGGAATAGAGTGGAGGGAAATCTGAAAACTGATGAAAACGAAACATCCTAAAGCCATGTCATTAAATAATAATAAAAAAGCCTTGTACTAATAATGTTCATTCCATTGCGAAATGTATTAAATGTCTAGGAGTCATAGAACTTTTATTTTTTTTCCAAAAAGCGGCAGTACTGAATTTTTGAGGTTCTGTAAAATGTGTTGTCCTGTGAAATGTATACTGTTTTATTACTTGTTATTGATATTTGTCTAAGTGATAATGTAGACTTATGTGGAAATAATGTGAAATATGTGTTTTGTAAATCCCATTGAAAACATCTTCTGTAATTGAAGAATTCCTATGAGCTATTTTAGAAATTTTACACATTTAGTGGGCTTCTGTGGATTTAGAGGAAAGGCACTGTATTTCTTCAACTAATTATTTTACATTGAAATCCCCATTAATTTTAACTTTCACATGAGTACAAGAATAACAGCAACAAGGGAATATAGACTAGCACTGCACAGAAAGGAGTGCACTGGTTCAGACTTAAATACCACTGCGTTTATACATAAGGACATTTATTGTCTTATGGACTATGCCTTTCTAGTGGGCATTATGTAAATATGAACACTAAAAAGAACAGGTACTGGATACTGGCTTCTTTAATTGGTAACTGCTAGCACTGGACCTCTGAAGAAAGCATGTTTCAAATTCAGTGTATAATGTTATTTATCACTGTGCAGTTGATATATACTTGAACTGTGCTGCATTTGTATATCCAAGGATAAAACAGATTTAAAACCTGAGATGCCAAACTCCAGTCTTCACTAAATAAGGAACAAGTGTTATCAAAATTAGATATTTTTTGTTTGAACGTGTATATAAATAAGTGTGTGTGTGTGTGTGTGTGTGTGTGTGGACGTAGACTATGTAAATGTGAGTCACAGTAGTATTACTAAGATAGGAAACTGTGACCAAATGTAAACTATTTCTTGTTGCACTCTTTGCACATGAATTCTGTTCCTAAAATTGAGTTCTTCCAGCTGATCAGTGATGAACATACTTATTGTAAGATTCGGAACTTACTCGTAGATGCACACTGAGAAATGTATCCATGTGCTAGAGAAAATAACCTTTTATTTGAGAACAAGGCAAAAAATAATCAGGAGGAAAAATAGGAGGCAAAATATGCCCTGAACAAAAATAAGCAACAGAAAATCAGTCTTTACATTGTTAAAAAATTGAGAACGTTGGAGAGAAGACTTTTTATTTTTCCCCACAAAGTCCTTAAGTATTAAATTTAATGGCTTGAAATGAGGCGTGTCTCACACTATAAAAACAGAGTATAGATTAGGGATGTAAAATTCTAATTAATCTATTAACCGGTTAAACTTGTGGTGTCTAACCAGTTCTGAAATGAACTAGCCACACTCAATCAGCCAACTAGCCACATTGTTTAAGCCAACTAGCCACACTCTACCTGCCAAATAGGCACATGTGGCTAGTGCCTAGCGTATTGGATACCACGGGGTTAAATGTTAGGGTTATTAAAGTGGGATCCAAGCTGGGAACCGCTCCAGCCTGTCTGGAGCAGTCCCTAGCCCATGGGACTCCTGTCCCCATCCTGGGGCTGGGGCTGCCACCAGCTGCTGGGTTCCAGCCCCCACTGGAGCATCTCACTGCACTGGGCCTGGGCTGGGCTCCCTGCAGAGAGAGGTTGCTCTGGTGTCCGGAGCAGCTCCTGCCTACATTGTGCCTAGGCCCACTGAGGACAGAGGCTTCTTTGGATGAGAGCAGCCTCTGTCTGTGATGGGGCCCCTGTGGGGCTGGAGAAGCCCCCTACCCGCAGCAGATGGGGAGCAGCTCCAGCCCCCACCCATTATCAGTTAACTGAACCTGGTAAGCATTACCTGTTTAGGGTGATGCTTACTAGTTAACTGCTTAATCTTTCATATTGCTAGTACTGATAATAATAGAAACCTGAAACCATCATAATTAAGGCAAAGTTTAGAGTCAAAGGTGCAATTCCATTTTAGAGAAATTTTTAAAAAATCTTGGGTTTTTAGTAAAGAATGTAATTAAATAGCCTTCCTGACATGGATAGTCTCTAAAGCTCATTCTGAATAAGAACTATTGAGCCTTATTCTTCACTGCCTGATACAGTCAGTCATATTTTGTCCCCTGCTCTGACTGCTTTTATGCTAAAGACGCTACAGAGCCAAGCTAGCCAATTAGCTACCCAAAGATTCCCTGCAAGACAGGAATCCCTCAGTGGCATAGGACTTGTGTAGCCCACTATATACCTCTCCGTTATGCTTTATGAAGAGCGCTAAGGGGGAAGGAAGTACGGTTGGATCGCTGATGATCCATGGCTGACAAAATGGCCTCCTGGGTGCTGTGGTAGCTGCTTACAAGTCAGAGCAGCCAGGAGCCCCAAAAGCCAGCCAGCTCCAGGACTCATCTTTGCTCCCAACCCAATCGAGGCTACAGTGCTGAGCAGAACTTGACTGGAGAGGAGGCTCTAACTCCATGTTTAGTCATTTACATCTGTGGTATTTGAGTCCAAATCAGAGCAGTTGCATTTTGCTTCTACTGTGCACTGGTGTAAATGACTCCACAAGATACAAAACAGTGAAGGTTCAGGCTTGTTTCTTAAAGCATCTTTGCTCCCAACCCAATCGAGGCTACAGTGCTGAGCAGAACTTGACTGGAGAGGAGGCTCTAACTCCATGTTTAGTCATTTACATCTGTGGTATTTGAGTCCAAATCAGAGCAGTTGCATTTTGCTTCTACTGTGCACTGGTGTAAATGACTCCACAAGATACAAAACAGTGAAGGTTCAGGCTTGTTTCTTAAAGACTGGTAATAGCATGGAGCTTTGTAGGATGCCAGTCCTGCGAGGTGCTGAGTAATTCCTGACAGATACTGAATTCCTGCTACTCATGGTTACTTGGGTGGGAGTGCAGGGTGCTTGGTACCCTACAAGGAGATGCACTGTATCTTGAAAGAGTAGGCCCATGCATTGGATGAATAAGGATGAGGTTTGTGAGAGTATTGCTCTACTGCTGGTGAAATCTAATACAGGCAGTCCCCGGCTTACGTACAAGATAGGGACTGTAGGTTTGTTCTTAAGTTGAATCTGTATTTAAGTCCGAACTGGCATCCAGATTCAGCCGCTGCTGAAACTGATCAGTTTCAACAGTGGCTGAATCTGGACACCAGTTCCGACTTACATACAGATTCAACTTAAGAACCCCAGGCGTCCCAAGTCAGCTGCTGCTGAAACTGATCAGCAGCTGATTCCAGGAAGCCCGGGGCAGAGCAACTCTGCCTCGGGCTTCCTGTAGTCAGCGCTGGTC